TGTAGGCCCTGTCAGAAGGAAGCTTCCAGGCAAGAGCCTGGAAGTTTCCCTGTAGGGAAACAGGCTGGGGCCTGTAGGCCCTGTCAGAAGGAAGCTTCCAGGCAAGAGTTTGGAAGTTTCCCTGTAGGGAAACAGGCTGGAGGTCCGGGACGGGCCCTGCAGGGCCCGTGTGGCTGCACAGTATGCCACAATAGGCGACCCAGGGATCGCCAGGAAGGCTACGTGGGGTTATAGTGGTCTGGACAGTGTGATGAGAACTATCTACTGTGCGATTGATGTTGAGGTGGAACGGCGAGATAATGCTGGTTGTGCCGATGCAGTGACTGGCCATCGCAATCGTCATTTGGTCATCTGGTGAGATTATCTCTGTGGTTGGGGGCAACTATTTGAGGTACGTTGCTCTTAACCTTATCTACCCTCTCCGACACTTCTTACCGTGAGGTTGTGTGTTCCTTCTTGAGAGTCCTCTCATTGTGAGGTGTCGAGTGCGCTCAACCTTGAGAGTCGACAATGTTCACGTGGAGCATCTGGGAAAACATGGGCAGAGCTTTCTGAAGGGCCTTGGACGAAGCACTGGGTCACGGTCACCAGGCCAACCCATAGGGAGTAGAGCACGCATGCCTTGCTGCTTGTCCTTTGTTCGGCTCGTTGCGTTGTTAGATGGGTACTGTTGGGCAGGCCAGCCCTTGAGGGAGACGAGACCGGGCGTCGTTAAATAAGCACCGAAAGGGGAACCATTGGCTGCGATCGTTGTCCGGCTGCGGCGTAAAAGAATTCCTGGAGTCACTTGGGGGCGGACGTTGAATTGCCTCTGGATCAGCCAATGGTTGTAAGGCTCGCTGCACGCGAGGATAATCTAGTGCAGGGCTGGCCAGCTCAGCAGATACTCGGGGCACAGGGGTGGGCCGGACACACACCTTTAGACACGGAACGCCTCCGGATTGCTCAGGGACGCTGACGTCAAGTGATACTCAACGGAACTAAGGGAGGGGTAAATTCCAGGTGACAAGTTCGAGGAAATTCCATGCTGTCCTATCCACACAAATGAGTCTATTTTTGTGTTTTGATTAGTTAGATGTACAGCCATTGACATCTGACAGACAACATTAGTTAGAACTGTTTCTTGTTCATGGTGCTTCTGTTTTCGGACTAGTCAAACTAAAAATAGATTCGTTTGTAGGAATCTGGACTTACCTGTTAGAACCCGAATGTAAGTACTCCGAATAGTCACCAATTAATTATTTATTTATTTTAAATTGGTATGTGCACTCTGTTGCGGTAGGCATCTTGAGTGACCTAGTGTAGACGGTGCACAGTGCTGTAGCATATGAGCGACAGGGAGGACACGCCACCGGACGGCCGGATCTTGCGATCAGCTAGACGCCCGATAGAGCACGTGTCCTTAGGACCGGAGGGTGATAGGATTCTGTTGCGCCAGCTTAGGGAGAGGCAGCAGCAGCAGAGGAGAGCTAGAGCAGCCGAGGCCAGCGGGGCTTTCACTAGCGAGGCCACTGCTACAGCAGCTATGACCACTTCCGCTATAGTCAGTTCTGCGCAGCAGACTTCCCAGGCTAGCAGTTCAGGTATCGTCGGGTCAACGGTCGCGCAGACCGTGAGTGAGTCCACTGGCGTTATTGCAAGCCAGGCAGCAGTGTTGTCCCCAGAGGATGTCGCCATCTAGCAGGCATCCCTACAGGAGGCACAATTACAGCATGCATTAGGACAAATAAAAGCGGAGAAGGAGAAGATGATTAGAAGAAGAGCCAGGATGCAGCAGAGAGGGGCAGACATAGAGGAGTTAGAGACGATTGAGCTGACGAACATGGATGATGATGTGAGGGTAGTTAGGAGGGCCCTGCTACGAGTAATAGAGATACAGGAGCATCAGACTACCATCCTTCAGGATATCCAACAGAGCCTAGCCATTCTGGCAGGGCGTGTTCAGGCGGCACCATCACCATCCGGGCCTGGTGCCTGGCCCGTGCCATATCCTCCTTTTCCTGTCCCACCGGTGACAGGGGTATCCCCATATATAGCACCGTCATCGGTTGCAATTGTTTCCCTGGGCATGCCTCTGTCAGGAGGGGTATCAGCAGGGACTAGTTTGCAGGTTCCTGTTCAGACAGTGTTCACCCAAACTCCGTCGCAGGTTGCAGTCACCACGCAGCCTGCTGTCTCGCAGCCTGTGCAACCGTAGGGCACACAGCCCCAGCAGCTAACACACTAACCTGTATCACCGGGTCCACAGCCCGGAGTGGTGCAGGAACCGGGACAACCACAGTGGGTTCCAAAGACGACCATCGCTGCTCCCAAACCCTTCACAGGGGACAAGAGAGGCGAAGACCTCGACACTTGGTTGAGGTCAGTGCCAGTCTATGTTAGGTGTAAACTTACCTTGCCGCACAAAGAAGTGCTTGTGGCTGCTTCCTACCTAGAGGGTAGTGCAGCGAGATGGTTGAGTGATTTAGTGCAGCTCCAGGGGTATGGTCATGACTTCTGCGCTTGGGTGGCCTCCAAGAAATTGGAGGACTTCCTGAAGATGGTTGAAGAAAGGTGGCATGATCCTCAGGAGGCCCAAAGGGCCATTGATGCGATCCTTACAGTACACATGCGGCAGTTCAAGTCTGTAAGGGAAGACCCCGACATTGTTGAGCATTTGATCTGTGTCCCAGGGGTGCGCTATGACCCCCAGGTCCTGCTTACCTCGTACTTGAGATGCTTTTCTCAGCCTCTCAGGAACCAGTTGGCAAGAGAGGCCAACATCAATATGCACAACTTTCCTTCGTTCAGCAAGATGGCCCTAGACCTTGAAGCTAAGATAGGGCATGGACTGGTACCCACTATGAATGGGAGGAAAAAGACACTGCCTCCTAACTGGAAGGCGAAGGGTTGCTTAATGTTTGTCGATAATGATGGTTCCACTATCGAAGTAGACGAACACTTCAAGGAGGGAGTAGGTTCAGAGGCGGGCAGCGTAGAAACTTCAGAGGGTGGAGTGGTCGCTGCCATAGCTCAAAAAGGAAAGGCGACCGGTAGACGTCGTGGAGGTTCTCGGTCTAGGAGTCAAGTTGACCCCAATATTCCTCCATGGGAGAAAGCGGGTCTTACAGAGGACGTGTGGAGAGACCGTTACTCACGGCAGGCATGTATTCGTTGTGGTCAATATGGCCACAACCAATTCAAGTGCCGCAATAAGAAGGTGACAGAAAAGATCCCGCCTACGATGGGGCAGGTGTTGGGATCCTCTCATCCCCTTGGTAGCAATGTTGCCAGTACTTCAGGCAGTGTTCCGGGAAACACGTTGGGCCAGTAGGAATAGTAGTTGTTCCTGCTAGGGTCGAGGTGGTGGAGACACCCCTTACCATCTCGAGCGATGGCCCAAGCTACTGACTCTAGCGTCGTCCCGCAAACACATTCAGACCCATCGAGCCTTTGTTCGATGAATGTGTTTGAATCCTTAGAGGAGCTAGAGGTGGAGTGGTCTAGATCAGACCCGCTAGCTTCTTGGACGGCCCTAGTCAAAGCCCCTAAGGGTGAGATGTTTGTCAGTGAGGTTGTCATTGGCGGTCGCAAGGCCGGGGCCTATTATGACACTTGCTCGACACAGAACTTTATTAGTCGCGCGTGTGTTGAGAGGCTGCGTTTACAGGGGCGAGTGCAGCGCCTGAGTCGACCTGTGGAGTCGACCCGTGCAAACAAAAAGCGCATGGTAGTCAATGACTACCTCCAGGATGTTGAGTGTTGTTTCCCGTACATGGGAGGGGACATAAGACATCGGCTCTCGTTTCTAGTGAGTGACGAGCTCCCAATGGATATGTTACTAGGTATGTACTACCTCTCTGTGGCACAGCCCCAGTTTGACTGGGACCGAAAAGTGGTCAAACACACTTTGCCAGGTGGAGGGACCGCCAAATTACACAAGTCAAAGCTAGGACTCTGATATCCTATGGGTGCATGTGTGCGGCCGCGTTCTACAATTATTATAAGCAAAATCAGGAGGAGGGTATGTATTTAATCTATGTCTCTGCTGCAGGCGAGCCAGTGAAAATGTCGCTGGAGATAGAGGGAGTAGTTGCTAAGTACCCTGATCTATTTGAAGAGCACACAATGGCGACTGGGGTTGTTGAGAGGGAGGTCGTCCACGCGATAGAGATTATCCCAAGGTCTAGTTTTCCGAAGGGTAGGATCTATCGGATGTCTCCAGGCGAGCTTGATGAGCTTCGCCGCCAACTCAAGGAACTCGTAGAGAAGGGTTGGATCCGGCCGAGTGTCTCTCCTTATGGATCGCCACTACTATTTGTACCTAAGAAGGAGGGTACACTTAGGATGTGCATTGACTATAGGGGCCTCAATGCCATCACTGTAAAGAACCGAGAGCCCCTACCGCGCAGCGACGATCAGCTAGATAGAGTGCAAGGCTGCGGGTACTTCAGCAAGATAGATCTGAAGGTCGGGTACCATCAGATTGCAATCCGGCAAGAGGATCAACACAAAACCACTTTTCAGACCAGGTACGGTCTATACGAGTTTGTGGTGATGCCTTTCGGCGTTTGCAATGCTCCTGGCACCTTTCAGCACGCTATGAATCGGATATTCCATGACTACTTGGATAAGTTTGTCATCGTGTACCTTGATGACATACTTATTTTTAGTAAGACTGTCGAGGAGCACGTTGCGCATCTGGACAAAGTCAGTCTCCTGCGACAGCGCAAGTTCAAGATCAACGGTGAGAAGTGCGAGTTTGGCCGCACCCGTGTCTTGTACTTGGGTCATGAGATATCCGCGGAAGGGTTGAAGCTCGATGACACAAAGGTGGCCAGCATTCGTGATTGGCCACGTCCTCAGTCTGTGACTGAGATGAGATCTTTCTTAGGAATGACAGGCTACTATAGGACTTTCGTTAAGAACTACAGCATAGTGGCCGCTCCTTTCACTGATCTGATCTGCCTTGGCACCCCATGGGAGTGGACAGATGAGTGCGAGGCTGCTTTTATGCATCTAAAGCATGCGTTGACGCACTACGAGGTCTTGAAACTTCCTGATCCTGATAAGCCGTTTATAGTCACCACGGATGCAAGCCAATATGGCATTGGCGCCGTGCTCGCGCAGCAGGAGGGGCCAAAGTTGAGGCCTGTAGAGTACATGTCCAAGAAAATGCCGTCTCAGAAGTTGGCTAAGTCCACTTATGAGAAAGAACTCTATGCAGTTTACAAGGCTCTGACCCATTTGAGGCACTATCTCCTTGGGAGGTGAGATGGATGAGAACTCAGCCGGTACTCTCTGACGCTCTCAAGCGTTGGATCGAAGTCATTGAACAGTATGACTTTGACCCTCAGTATTTGAAAGGGGAGTACAACAAGGTTGTTGATGCCTTGTCGCGTAGACGTGATTTCTTGGGTGCGCTGATTACTTAGATCGATCTGACGGACCATGTTACTCAGTCCTTGGTGGAAGCCTATCGCGAGGACCAGTTTATATCTGAGATCATACGCAGACTGCAGGCGAAGGACAAGAAGACCTCTGTCGAGTTTGAGTTGGTTAATGGCTTGTTGTTCCTTGAGAAGGCAGGGAATAAGCGTTTGTGTGTCCCGAATCGCGAGTCTTTGCGTACTTTGTTTTTAGGAGAATGCCATGATGCCACCGGTCATTTTGGGTACAAAAAGACCGCAGCTAATCTGCTGCAGCGATTCTGGTGGCCCACGATGATGAGAGATGCTCAGCTGTACGTGGAAACGTGTCAAGTCTGTCAGAGAGACAAGCCACGTACACAAGTCCCTCTTGGGCTCTTGAAGCCGCTTCCGATTCTGGAAAGGCCTGGTGAGAGTCTGTCCATGGACTTCATGGATGCTCTGATCACCAACAAGAGTGGGATGCGACACATCTTTGTCATCGTGGATAGATTTAGCAAGTATGCTAGGTTAGTGGCAATGCCGGAAACAGCAAGAACGGAGTATGTGATCCGAATGTTCAAAGAAAACTGGGTCAGGGACTTTGGTTTACGAAAGTCTATTATTAGTGACAGGGATGTCCGGTTTACCAGTGAGTTGTGGAAGGCCGCTGCTGCAGAGCAGAGCAGGGAACTTAGTTGCGGATGACTTATGGGAACCACCCTGAGGCTAACGGTCAGGCCGAGCAACTGAACCGCGCTGTACAACACCTGTTGAGGCATTACATCAAGCCCAACCAGGTGGACTGGGATGAGAAGCTTGCTCTCATCGCCAGCTTGTACAACAACGTTGTACATAGCGCCACCGGGGTGAGCCCAAACAGCTTACTGCTAACATTTAAGCCTAGACTGCCCCTAGACTTTATTCTCCCTGAGAATCAATCCACTGCTGCACCAGGTACCTTAGAATTTGCTTATCGCTATGAACAGAAGATGCAGCAGGCTGTAGAACAGATGCAGAAGGCGCAGGCTACAATGATAGAGTCTGAAAATAGACACCGCCAACCTTCTGCATTTCAGGTTGGGGATATGGTCTGGGTTAAGTCTTCAGAACTGGGACAGGAGCAAGGGATCTCTCGCAAACTCATGCCCCAGTACTTTGGACCCTGGGAAGTCTTGGACATCGTGGGGACAGATCCGGATGGGCCATCCTATGTTATCCGGATCCCTGGTCATCTTCGTAATTACCCTGTCTTTCACGCCTCCAAGTTAGCACCTTTCGAAGAGACTGATCAGTTTCCTCCTCGTCGCTTAATGCTGCCCCCAACCATGGACGAAGAAGTGGACATTGATGACATTGTGGATCACAGGGAGCTTCCAGTTCAGAGACCTACAGGCAGGGGACGTCCTCCAAAACCGAAGCTGCAGTACCACGTTCGGTTCCGACATCATACTGACCCCAAGGAGGACCGCTGGTTCACAAGGGAAGAACTCGTGCAGACCGCTCCTCAAGTTGTATCTCAATATGAGAAATCTCTGCAGAAAGGAAAGTGCCTGATGGTCGAAGATTGAGCTTCTCAGAGGACTATTGAAGCTAAGGAGGAGGGAATGCGAGGCCACTGCCTCTATGAGCCCCTTTCGGCCCCTCTTTTACAGCCCGCGGCCGCCCTAAGTGAAGGCAGGCCCAACGAGGCCTTCAGGGCCTTATTTCGGCCTCTACGCAATTAAGGAAATTTAGGCAGTTGCGCAGCGCCAGTTGGTTGAAGAAACCCAGGCCCTGGGCCGCCTGTGTGAATGAATGGAAAGCAGGCCCTGGGCTGGATACGGGTACTGGCCACACACATGCCAAAGGCAGTTGGGAACATGCAACTACCGCAGGCCCCAGGCCTGTGCTCGATCGTACTGGACCTCAGGCTACCGGGGCCTACTGGAAGCTTCCTAGGACTGGACGCAGGCAGGCCACTTCGATATAGCAAAGGGCCTGCCTCCTCATTCGACATTCGGGTGCTGGCTACATGATGCGCTATTTGCTGGCTGACGCCTACGCTCTCACGGGCGAGCAGGGAAGGAGCACGCAGCCATAGCCGAGCTGCGTTGCTGTAAGCTGGGTGAAGTGCAGGGTGGTCCTTGAGTGCTAGTGGCATCTATGTGTTGGGGAACGAGGTTTTGAGTGTGGCGAGAGACATACCTGGTGCTGGAAGCGTGCGACATTGGTCGCCATATGCTCGTACTTCGGGAATGTTGTTGACGTCAGATAGGATCTGCCACATGTAGTCTGGGTGTCGAGCGCTAGATAGGATATCAACTCTGGTTCTTCGTTGATGATGATGGGATTAATTTCAGCATTGTCAAGTATGAACTCTTGGTGTGTTCTTATTTGGTGAATCTCGTGATGCAATTCTGTTGTTGGTTCGAGGTCACGACTATCTGGACTCATATGTATGATGCTGTTTGATTGCTGAAGTTCGCTATTGCTCGTCTTCCTTGCAATTCTATTTTTATTTTGATTAGTTAGATATACAGCCATTAACATCTGATAGACAACATTAGTTAGAACTGTTTTCTGTTCCTTGTGCTACTGTTTGCGGGCTAGTCAAAGTAAAATAGTTTTCGTTTGTAGGAACCTGGACTTACCTGTGGGACCCAAATGTATATACTCTCTGACGCAGCCACCGATTAATTAGTTTTATTATAAGTCGGTTTGTGCACTAAGCTGCGGTAAGCATTATAGAGTGTCTTAGTGCAGATTGTGTACAATGTTGTGGCTTATGAGCGATAGGGATATCACTAGTGAGGACGACCGGATCTTGCGATCGGCTAGACGCCCGATAGCCCACTTGGCCTGAGGACCAGAGGATGACAAATTTATGTTCCGCCAGCTTAGGGAGAGGCAGCAGCAGCAGAGGAGAGCTAGGGCAGTAGAGGCCAGCAGGGCGTTCGTAAGCGAAGCCGCAGCTTCAGCAACCATGGCAATTGCTGCGCAGCAGAGTTCCGATGCTAGCAGTTCAGGGAGTGTAGGGTCAACGGTCGCGCATACCCTGAGTTAGTCCACTGGTGTAATGGCAAGCCAGCCGTTAGTGTTGACTCCCGAGGAGGTCGCCATACAGCGAGCTGTTGATCGCGAGGCACGACTACAGAAGGCTTTAGGAGAGATTAAGGCAGAAAAAGAAAGAATGATTAGAAGAAGAGCCAGGTTGCAGCGGCGACAAGCGGACATTAGTGAGAGGAGATGGACCCAGAGGAGTTGGATGATCAGGTGAGGACCCTGAGGTTGGTTTTGTTAGGTGTAGTAGACATGCAAGACCAACAGACGACAATCTTACAGGACATTTAGCAGAGTCTGGTGTCTTGGTCGGGCGAGCGCAGGCGGCACCATCACTGTCCAGGCCTGGTGTCTGGCCCGCTGTACATCCTCCTCCTTTTGTCCCACCGGTGACTAAGGTATCCCCATATACCACTCCAGCATCGGTTGAACCTGTCTCCCTGGGTATACCTTTAACAGGCAGGTTCTGGGCAGGTCCTAGTTTGCAGGTTCTTGTACAGACAGTGTTCTCCCAACCTCCGTCTCAGGTTGCCATAAGCGGGCAGCCTGCTGTCTCACAGCCTACACAGCTGCATGGTTCACAGCCCCAGCAAATAGTGCAGCAGCCTGCACCACAGGGTCCACAGTCCGCAATGGTGCAGGTACCGGGACAAAGTCAGTGGGTACCAAGACGACCATCGCCGCTCCTAAACCCTTTACAGGGGATAAGAGGGGCGAAGACCTTGACACTTGGTTGAGGACAGTGCCGGTCCACGTCAAGTGCAAACTTACCTTGCCGCACGAGGAAGTGCTTGTGGCTGCCTCCTATCTAGAGGCGAGTGCAACACGATGGTTGAGTGGTTTAGTGCAGCTACAGGGGTATGGTCATGACTTTCGCGCTTGGGCGGTCACCCAAAAACAGGATGACTTTCTGAAGTTGGTGGAAGACGGGTGGTATGATCCTCAGGAGGCCCAAAAGGCTACTGATGCAATCCTGACACTGGACACAAGGCAATTTAAGTCAGTAAGGGAGGCCACTGACGCTGTAGAGCGTCTGATCTGTGTCCTGGGGTGCGCTATGACCCCCAGGTTTTACTTACCTCTTACCTGAGATGCTTTCCTATGCCTCTCAGGAATCAGTTGGTCGGTGAGGCCAACATCAACATGCACAACTTCCCATCGTTCAGCGAGAAGGCCCTAGACCTTGAAGCAAAGATAGGGCATGGTCGGATACCCATGACGGATGGTAGGAAAAAGTCACTGCCTCCCAACTGGAAAGCGAAGGGACACATCATGTTCGTCGACAATGATGGTTCCACCATCGAATTGGACGATGACTTCCAGTCGGGAGTGGGTTCAGAGGCCGACAGCGTAGAAGCTTCAGGGAGTGTAGTCGCTGTCGTAGCACAAAAAGGTAAGGCGGCCCGTAGACACTGTGGAGGTTCCCGGCCTAGGAGTCAAGTTGACCCCAATGCTCCTCCATGGGAGAAAGCGGGTCTCACTTAGGACGTGTGGAGAGACCGGTACACCCGGCAAGCTTGCATTCGTTGTGACCAATATGGTCATAACCAATTCAAGTGTCGTAACAGGAAGGTTACCGAGAAGATCCCGCCTACGATGGGGCAGGCGTTGGGATCCTCCATTCCCGTTGGTAGCAATGTGGCCAGCAGTTTTGGCACTGCTCCGGGAAACGCGCCGGGCCAGTAGGAATGGTAGTTGTTCCTGCTAGGGTCGAGGTGCTGGACACACCCTCACCATCTCGAGAGATGGCCCAAACTACTGACTCCATTGTTGTCCCGCAAACACATTCTGACCCATCGAGCCTCTGTTCGATGAATGTGTTTGAATCCTTAGAGGAGCTAGAGGAGGAGTGGTCTAGATCAGATCCACTAGCTTCTTGGACGGAAGTAGCCAAAGCCCCAAAGGGAGAGATGCTCGTCGGCGAGGTAGTCATCTGCGGCCGCAAGGTCGGGGCCCATTATGACACTTGCTCGAGATGGAACTTCATTAGTTGCACGTGCGTTGAGAGGCTGCGCTTACAGGGGCACGTGCAGCGCCTGAATCGACCTTTGGAGTCAACCTGTGCCAACAAACAGCGCATGGTAGTCAACGACTACCTCCAGGATGTTGAGTGTTGTTTCCCGTAGGCGGGAGGGGAATTCAAGCATCGCGTTTTGTTCCTAGTGAGCGATGATCTCCCTATGGATATCTTGTTAGTTATGCACTACCTCTCTGTGGCACAGCCCCAGTTTAACTGGGACCGAAAATTGGTCAAACACACTTTGCCAGGTGGAGGGACCGCCAAATTACGTAAGTACAAAGCTAGTAGTCTGATTGAGTCCCACGAATGCATGTGTGTGGTCGCGTTCTATAATTATTATAAGCAAAATCCGGAGGAGGGTATGTATCTAGTTTATGTCTCTGCAGCAGGCGAGCCGTTGAAAATGCCGCCGGAGATAGAGGGAGTAGTTGCCAAGTACCCTGATCTATTTGCAGAGCCTACAGGGGTTGTTGAGCGGGAGGTGGTCGTCCATGCGATAGAGATTATCCCGGGGTCTAGTATCCCGAAGGGTAGAATCTATCGGATGTCTCCAGGCGAGCTTGATGAGCTTCACCGGCAACTCAAGGAACTCGTAGAGAAGGGTTGGATCCGGCCGAGTGTTTTTCCTTATGGATCGCCAGTCCTATTCATACCGATATGAAGTCCGAGTACCATCAGATTGCAATCCGGCCCGAGGATCAACACAAAACCTCATTTCTGACCAGGTATGGTCTATACGAGTTTGTGGTGATGCCTTTCGGCCTTTGTCATCGTGTACCTCGCTGACATACTTATTTTTAGCAAGATTGTCGAGGAGGATGTTGCGCACTTGGACAAAGTCCTTAGTCTTCTTCGACAACACAAGTTCAAGATCAACGGTGAGAAGTGCGAGTTTGGCCGCACCCGTGTCTTGTACTTGGGTCATGAGATTTCCACGGAGGGATTGAAGCCCTATGACGCGAAGGTGGCCAGCATTCGTGACTGGCCGCGTTCTCAGTCTGTGACTGAGATGAGGCCCTTCTTAGGGATGACAGGCTACTACCACAATTTTGTTCAGAATTATAGTATAGTGGCCGCCCCTTTGACGGACCTGACTCGCCTTGACACCCCATGGGAGTGGACATAGAGGTGTGAGGCTGCTTTCAGACAACTGAAGCATGCGTTGACACACCATGAGGTCTTGAAACTTCGTGATCCTGACAAACCTTTCGTAGTAACTACGGATGCTAGCCAATATGGCATAGGCGCCGTACTTGCGCAGCAGGAGGGGAAGAAGTTGAGGCCGGTAGAGTACATGTCCAAAAAGATGCCCTCTCAGAAGTTGGCTAAGTCCACCTATGAGAAGGAACTCTATGCGATCTACAAGGCGCTCACCCATTGGAGGCACTATCTCCTTGGGAGGTTCTTCTACGTCAGGACTGATCACCAGACCCTGAAGTGGATGAGAACCCAGCCTGTGCTCTTCGACGCTCTGAAGCGTTGGATTGAAGTCATAGAGCAGTATGACTTTGAGCCCCAGTACATCAAGGGCGAGTACAACACGGTTGCTGATGCGCTGTGGCGTAGATCAGATTTCTCTGGTGCGCTGATCACTGAGTTTGGGTTTGCGGACGATGTTACTCGCTCTATGGTGGAAGCCTATCGTGAGGACCGGTTGATGTCTGAGATCATACGCAGACTCAAGGCGAAGGACAAAGTGACTTCTGTCGAGTTTGAGTTGGTCAACGGACCGTTGTTCCTTGAGAAGGCAGGGAATAAACGTCTGTGTGTGCCATGTACGGAGTCTTTGCATAGTTTATTTTTAGGCGAGTGTCATGATGCCACCGAACATTTTGGCTTTAAGAAGACTGCAGCCAATCTGCTGCAGTGGTTCTGGTGGCCCACGATGATGAGAGATGCCAAGCTGTGTGTGGAGACTTGTCAGGCCTGTCAGAGAGACATGCCCCGAACATAGGCCCCTCTTGGGCTCCTCAAGCCCCTTCCGATTCCGGAAAGGCCCGGTGAGAGGCTGTCCATGGACTTCATGGACACACTGGTCACCAGCAAGAGTGGAATGAGACACATCTTTGTTATCGTGGATAGGCTTAGTAAGTACGCTAGGTTAGTAGCAATGCCGGAGACAGCGAAGACCGAGTATGTGATTAGACTCTTCAAAGAGAATTGGGTCAGAGACTTTGGGCTCCCAAAGTCTATTGTTAGTGACAGGGATGTCCGATTCACAAGTGCGTTGTGGAAGGCTGCAACTGCAGAACAGGGAACACAACTGCAGATGACTTTTGGGAACCATCCTGAGGCCAATGGCCAAGCAGAGCAGCTTAACCGTGCTGTACAACACCTGTTGCGACATTACATCAAGCCCAATCAGGTGGACTGGGATGAGAAACTTGCTCTCATCACCAGCCTGTATAACAATGTTGTGCACAGCGCAAGTGGAGTAAGTCCTAACAGTCTGCTACTGACTTTCAAGCCTAGACTGCCCCTAGACTTTCTGCTACCTGACAATCAATCAACTGCTGCACCCGACAGCCTTGAGTTTGCCTATCGCTATGAACAACTGATGCAATAGGCAGTAGAACAGATGCATAAGGCACAGGCGGCAATGATAGAATCTGAGAACAGACACCGCCGCCCTTCTACATTTCAGGTAGGGGACAGAGTGTGGGTAAAATCCTCTGAACTGGGACAGGAGCACGGGATCTCCCGTAAGCTCATGCCACAGTACTTTGGACCATGGGAGGTTCGAGATGTTGTTGGGGTAGATCCGGATGGGCCATCCTATGTTATCCGGATCCCTGGTCATCTTTGCACTTACCCTTTCTTTCACGCCTCCAAGCTTGCACCATTCAAGGAAACTGACCAGTTTCCCTCTCGTCACTCTATGCTGCCCCCAACCATGGATGGAGAAGTCGACATCGACGACATCGGTGATCACAGGGAGATGCCAGTTCCAAGACCGATAGGCAGAGGACGTCCTCCGAAACCGAAGCTGCAGTACCGGGTTCGGTTCAGACATCACACTAATCCAAAGGAGGATAGATGGTTCACACGGGAGGAACTGATGCGGACCGCTCCACAGGTCGTCCCTCACTACGAGAAGTCTCTGCAGAAAGGAAAACGCCAGATTATCGAAGATTGAACTTCTCAGAGGACTATCGAAGTATGGAGGAGGGAATGTGAGGCATAGGGCCTCGATATGCCCTACAAGGCCCAATTTTCACACAGTCGGCCGCCCTAAGAGAAGGCAGGCACGACTGAGGCCCTACAGGCCATTTCAGGGTCACCACGCAACTGGGGAAATTCAGGCAGTTGCGCAGCACCAGTCGGTTGGAAGCACCCAGGCCCAAGTCGCCTTTCATTGCATGTATAACTGAGGCAGGCCCTGGGCCGGATACACAAAGTGGACCAAACAAAGGCTGAGGGAAGTTGGGTGTTGGTAACCGCCTCGGGCCCTTGGCTTGTTTCCTTCGGACTGAGGCTCAGCCTCCCTGGGCCTATCGGAAGCTTCTGGGTCGGGGCCCAGTACTACAGCACAACACGCAGCAGCAGGCCAGTTAAATAAGTTGAAATTGCAAGGAAAATGAGCAATAGCGAGATGACAAAATCCAGATTGCACAATTGCATTGAAAGCCAAAATAGTTATTGTCTTCCACTACCCTCTCTACCTTTTCTCTCTCCATGCATCTTTTTCGGGTGGCCCACTCATCTGGCGGCTGCAGATAAGAGCTGTTTCTTTTTCTTTCGTTGTCTTGGATGTCGCACAACTCCTGCACTAGACCAAAACCCCCACTAATGGGACATGGGCCCAAATGGTAACCATAGAAAGAATCCTCAAATAAACCAACAAATTTCTTAAATAAGTTGAAATTGCAAGGAAAATGAGCAATAGCGAGATGACAAAATCCAGATTGCACAATTGCATTGAAAGCCAAAAAGTATCACAATGTCCAGAAAGCAGCATTGCCCCAATATAACACCAATGGAGAATCGTAACATCGAAAACCGAATGTCAATGAGAGCTTGCTCTCGCCATCACCAAAGTAAGTATGCAGGCCCTTCTCCCTACTTGGCGTTCGGCGCCCAGCCTACTCCCTACACAGCTACTATCTGCCTACTTATTGACAATGCAACTGTTGACGTCAGCAGCCAACGAAGTACTTGAAGACGTCGACCAATGCAGACCATCGCCAATACCAGGTACATGCCCTCACATCATCATCATCATAGTCCTCTTGCCTTCTCCCACGACTTTCACTCACTTTTTCACTTTGTACACCCGAAGACCACCCATGCGCCGTGTTGTACATTCAAGCCCCAGCCAGCTATGGAGGCTAGGCTATGGCTATGCCCTCAGCAGTGCCCTTCCTCGTACGTGACCGCACGTGTGCCAGCACCTTGCCTTAGCGCAAGCAGCAGCCCACGAAACTCCGCTCCAACAGAGCTGCTGCTAGCTTGCAAGTGTCTGAATGCACCTCCGGGCGGCGAGCTCTTCCCTATATCGAAAGAGTCTGCTTGCCTTCCGGCCTGGCTGGGATGCGCCCGTGCCCAAAAGCTTCTGGTAGGCCCCAAGTGGCTGGGCCTTTGGTGCAGTTGCTGGGCCTCGTTCGGTTGGGCCTCCCAACTGTCTATGTATGATGCTGCGATTCTTGCCCATGGCCTGCATTTTAGAAAAGGCCCAAAAGGCCGTGGAAAATATTTGCAGTGAGGGTCCTGGGTTCCCTCAACCAACTGACGCGACACAACTGCCTGAACCACAAATGCGAAATTGACAGCATTGGGCCTCTCGTGATTTGCTAGGCCCACCTTCACTTAGGGCAGGCACACTTGTATCAGGGGCTCCTTAGGCCTGCCGAGGAGCCACATCCTCGCATTCCCTCCCCCTTTACTTCGATGGTCCCCAGAGAAGTATTCTAATCTGCAAGCATCTTCCCTTTGAGTGCTCTTTCGTAACCTGCAATCACTTGGGGCGCTGTTCGCTGGAGTTCTTCTCTAGTGAACCACCGATCTGCACTAGGATCAATATGGTGTCTGAATCTAACACGATATTGCATCCTTGGCTTGGGAGGATGGCGTCTGCTGGGAGGTTTAGGTACTGGCATCACCGGATGCTTCACAATTCCGTCGATGTCGACTTGACCATCCATGGTTGGGGGCAGCATTGATCGTCTGGAGGGAAACTGTGCAGTCTCTGCGAAGGGTGCCAACTTTGTGGCGTGAAAACTGGGTGTGTGCGTAGGTGAGGTGGGATGCAAATTACATAGGAGGGTCGATTCATCTGATCGCCGACTATGTCTAGAACCTCCCAAGGACTGAAATACTGCGGCATTAGTTTTCTGGAGATTCCCAACTCCTGTCCCCGTTCAGATGACTTAACCCAGACTCCTAGTGTGTTAGAAGGTCGTCTGTGTTTGTTCTCAGATGCGATATGAGACTTCCTAGTGTGTTCAACGGCCTGCTGCAGCATCTGTTCGTACTTGACAACAAATTCTATGCTGCCAGGTGCTGCTTTTGACTAGTTCTCAAGCAGTAGGAAAGCAAGGGTGGATCTGGGCTTCTAACCAAGATGCAACTAGTTGGGAGTCATGCCAATAGTGTTGTGCACAACATTGTTGTACAGGCTGGCAATTTCTCATCCCAGTCATCCTGACTAGGCTTGATGTAATGCCTTAGTAGGTGCTTCACTACTCGGTTCATCTGTTCCGCCTGCCCATTTGACTCAGGTGATTCCGTGACGCCATCTGCAGTCTGGTACCCATCTGTTGGGCAGTGTTTTGCCACAGTTCGCTTGTCAAGCGAACATCCATATCGCTGACAATGGACTTGGGTAAACCGAAGTCTCGTACCCATTTATCCATAAACAACCTAACGCAAGGAAGATGAGCAATAGCGAACTTCAGCACTCAAACAACGTCATACATATGAGTCCATATAGTCTTGACCTCAAACCAACAACAGCATTGTTGGCGCTCGACGCCCAGACTACATGTGGCCGATCCTATCTAGCCTATACTATGAAGCCGAAAGATGACATCAACAACATTCCCGAAGTACGAGCATATGGCGACCAATGTCGCACGCTTCCAGCACCAGGTATGTCTCGCGCTACAC